TCATCACAGTGCTGACGCATGACAGTGAAAGCCCCGTTGTGTTGCCAGGTGGCCGCCGCGCCATCACAAACTGGAGCGGCCCGCAGCCAAAGGGCCCTTTCGAGGAGGATGGCGATTATTCGCCGGATGCTGTGGCAGAGGAAGATGATGAGATGGAAGGTGCCGTGGAACCGCAGCCGGTGCCCGACTTAGAGCTTGGTGTGCCTCCGCCTGTCGCCAGTGAGCCTGAAGTGTTGCACTTTGACGGTGTTGAGTTGACGCTGACCTCCACCTTGAGTGCTCTAAGGGCAGCCTGCAAGCGAGCCGGGGTGTCACAGAGCGGTGGAAAGAAAAGGTGTTGGGACCGCTTGCGTGGGTTCATGGACAAGCAGCGATTGCTAATGGCGGCCGAGGCTGAGGCTTCGGTGCAGGCCGACCGGACCCGAGAGCCGGCCCAGCAAGCGGTGATCAGAGAACCCACGGCGGCGGAACGCCAGCTGCACAATCTGACTCATTGGCCTTACGCCCCGTGGTGCCAGCACTGTCTGTCGATGCGTGGTGTTGAGGATCGCCACCAGAAGCTGCCTTTGAGTAGTGATCGTGACGTGCCGGTTGTGAGCTACGACCTGTGTTACACTGGGGTCTCGGAAGGAGGCCAGCCAAAGGAGAAGCTCACAATTCTTGTGGGCCACGACACCGGCACCGGCAGCATGTTTGCATTTCCTTTGCCAAGCAAGCACCAGGTGGAGCTCAAGCATGCAGCGGTGGAAGTTATAAGATTTGTGCAATCGTTGGGGCACGCAACGATAAAGATTGAATGTGACAACGAACCGGCCATGCTTATGCTACAGAACATGATTGTTTCTTTGCGCAACAAGTTGGGTCTCAAGACCTTGGTGCGTGATGCACCGGTTGAGTCGCATGCTTCGAACGGGCATGCAGAAAAGTGTGTGGACCTTCTGCGTGGTCTCAGCAATGTGCTTCTTGATTATGTTCGGACCCAGTTTGGTGTTGAAGTTGGGCCAGACCATCCGTTGATGCCCTGGTCCTATGTTCACGCCAGTTTCCTGCTGAACAGGTATGCGGTGCGTGGCGGGGCAACAGCCCACGAGCGATGCCACGGCTGCCGGTATTCCGGCAAGCTTGCAATCTTCGGTGAGCCTGTGTGGGGTTTCTTGAAAGGCAAGGCCAAAGGGGATCGGAAGTGGCGGCGAGCCCTTTTCGTGACCAAGAGCCCGAGCAATGACATGTATGTGCTCATGAGTGAACAAGGGGTGTGGCTCACGCGTTCGTTGCGTCGCACTGACAAGCCCTGGAAGGATGAGCAGAAGCTGGTTAAGGATAGTAAAGGGTTCCCTTGGTCCTATCAGTTAGGGGTTCTAGGTGCCAAGGTTTTCCCACAGTCCCGGCATCGCACCCCCAGCGCAGCGCCTGAAGAAGAGCTTCTTTTCGAGGAGATGAAGAAAAGCCAAGGTGAGATTGAGGATCCGTTGCCTCCTCTTCAGGTACCAGGTGCTTCACATGCTAAGGAGCCCACCGTGGTAGCCGTGGAAAAGCCGGCTCCAGGACCTTCTTCCAAAGGACCAGGATCTGTGATTCCTGGCGGGGATGCCGCAGCAAGCAGCGGTGACACTGCGCCACCGAGTCGACGGGCGACTTTGTTGCTCGATCGACCCAAGCAGCCGAGTGCGGCAGCAGCCGCGCCAGAACCGAGCCCAATGGAGATAGCGGGCACAGACCCGCCAACGACGCCGGAGACGGATGCTATCTCCGACTCAGAGATGCTTGCTGATGTGGCCGAGCGAGCTGCAAAGCACCGACGGGTTTGCCGGCTCGGAACAGACGAGCTGGCAGTGAATGATGAGCCCATGGAGTCGATGCCGGAGTGGGAAGATGCAGAGTATGACATGGAAGGTGAAACGGATCTTCTACGTGATCAAGATGAAGCCGCCTTGGAGGCCGATGATGCTTTTTGGTTCGATGACATCCCCGACCTCACCGAGGAGCAGCTCCAAGCTCTTGACTACAAGGCCGATTGTTTTGAAGTGGAGCGGTTGGTAAGGATGAAAGTTCTTGAGTATGTGGCCGAGGGTGAGAGCACGGAGGGTGTGAAAGAGCTTTCCAGCAAATTCGTGAGATCATGGAGGCATAAGACCAAAGATGGCAAGAAGATGGTGTATCGTAGGAGTCGTTTGGTTGCAAGAGAGTACAAATGGCTTGAAAAGGATAGAGAAGGATTGTATAGTCCTGCCACGACTTCAGCGATCGTCAGGATATTGCCTTGGATGCTGTGTGAGCTCAGGCGGCTCAACGAGTATGGCGACCAAGGCGATGAAGAGGACCCGTTTGCATTGATGGCGTTAGACATTAAGGACGCTTATCTCTGCGTTCCACAGGAGCAACCGATGATGGCTCGCGTGAGGGGCTTTGAGAACAGGAGGATGCGTTTCTTGAAACTTTTGCCAGGGCAAAGGGATGGAGCAGCCAGGTGGAACCAACACATGATGAAATTTATCTCAGATCGAATGTCTCTAGAACTTTGCCCGGTATGCCCAGCAGTCTTCAAAGCCGACAAGAAGCCAGGACTTATACATGTAGACGATCTGTTGATGTTGGCGCGCAAAAGCTGGCTGATGGGCTACCTCGTTCCCGAACTTAAGAAAGAGTTCACCGTCGCGTTCGAGATCATGGTAAAAGCTGGAGACAAGTTCAGTTTTCTCAAGAGAGAGCACCTATTGGTTGAGTGTGGCACGCAGTACGGCATTGTGATTCGCAGCCCGTCCGCCTATGCTCAGAAGATGTCCGATGTGCTAGGTGTTCGCAAGCAGCAGGTGTCCAAAGTGCCATGCAACAAAGACATTGTTTCGCATGATGACAGCAAACCTTTGAGCCCAGAGAGAGCATCGCAGTTCAGATCAGCAGTGGGTGTGGGCATGTACATTTCCAATGACAGACCGGACATTGCCTACACAGTTAGAACATTGAGCACGTGGCTGAGCAACCCGACCGAGCACGCGTGGCGGTGTGCTCAGAAGTTGGCCATGTACCTGAACGGCACCAGCTGTTACGGAACCTTGGTGACGGCAGGTGAGTGTGGTGAATCCATTCTCAATCCTGGTGTGCCGGGATCCAAGCTGTTACTGGAGATATGCACTGATTCAGACTGGTCAGGAAATAAGCGAAGCCGGCGATCAATGACCGGAGGATCTTTCTATATCAACGGCACTTGCATTTATTCAACATGCAGGGTTCAGAAGTGCATCACACTATCCAGTTCGGAAGCAGAATATTACAGCTTGGTGTCAGGAGCAGCAGATGGACTTTACATTGTACAGATTTTGCGTTTTGTGGTCGAGCAGGAAGTGGAACTGGTCCTCCGCGTGGACAACCAGGCCGCGCGGCAACTTGCTGTTAAACAGGGTTGCAGTGGTAAGCTTCGTCACGTGGAAGGCCGGCTCCTTTGGGTGCAAGAACGCACCGCCCGCAAGGAGTTTTCGGTTAAACCGATAGAGGGTGAGAGAAATCCGAGTGATGTGGGCACGAAAGTGCCGAGCAGTGCAGTGAGGCTGAAAGCTTTGATCAACATGCACAACATGGTGGATTGTCGTGAGGACACTCCTTCGCCAATCGGCGAGCGTGAACGTGCTGAGCTTGAGCAGAAGCTGTTGGCAAAGCAGAAGACCAAGAGTGTGAGAAGAATGTTTGCGCAAGCCACGCGCAAGCATGCATTGCAGAATCCGATGGCTTGGCTGATGATGATCAGCATGCTGAGCACAGTTGAGTGTGCTACGACTTTGCACTTGACGGCTGGACCTTCGCCAGCAGTTTCAGTGAGCCAGAGCTTTGTGACTGCAGTGTGTGTTGGCATCATTGCAATCATGTGTGCAGTGGTGTACCTGTGGCGCGCAAGAGTGAGTGAGCAGTTTTCGGGACAAGTGAGTGACACAACGGTAGGTGCAGGAGTAGCAGTACAGCTTTTAGGAGAACTAACAACGCAGCTAGGAATGTGGCAGTGCATGGCTATGATGGTTACGGCATATGCTCTTAAGGACTTGTTTTCGTTGTGTCGTTTGGGCCTTGGGTCTAAGAAGAAAACCATGCTGAAGAATGCGTCGGTCCAAACGGATCCGGTGCATCACGAGCCACATGTAGAAATCCGCACCAGAGTTGAGTTTCAAACGAGGCTCCCGGACGAAGTGTGGGTTACGCCACATGGTCGTTCGTACCATTCCCGAGAGTGTCGTCATGTTCGCGGTAATGGTAGGCGTTTTAGTCCCGGTTTCTGTTGTCAGCACCAGCTCAGGGATGGTTAGTAAAGCAACGGTATGCTGTGTAAAGTTGTGGTGATTTGACGCAGCCAAGTGAGCTGTGCAAATCAGGCGGGGTGACGAACTTTAGCCCCTTTTGTAGCATACCGTACATGCTGAGTTTTTACACGCTTTAGTCGTTTTCACTCCGAGCTTGGACGACCCGCGCCGCAGGCCCAAAGTCCAGTTGCAAAAGCTTGTTTCTTGAACATGTTCTGCTCACTGGTGGCAGAGACTTGCAGGTTTTTGGGTGCGTACGGCACATCGCATAGTGTACGTGAGCCACCTGTTGGTCATGTACGTGGACGATGCCATGTTATGGCAAGCGGCAGGTGCCATTGAAATGTCGGCAGTTTTGCTGTTGTCTTTCTGCCAGGTTTTCGGGTATCCGATATCATGGCGTAAGCTGCAGTTGTGACCAACCATTGTTTACGGAGGCCGTCAGTGCGTGCGCTGATAGTCCCTTAATATCTTGAGCTTGTGTTTTCTTGAAAAATCGGGCTTTGATTTTTAAGGAAAACGGCTGCCGAAAAATGTTCTGTCAACATTAGCCCAAGTGGCGCTATCTTGTATCTTCTGTACCCGCGCTCGCCATCTCAAGGTAGCTTGAAGCTGATCGTGCATAAGCTTCGAGTGACACAACATGCTATCCAGCTGTGGACAAGCCATTGACTTTGCGCATGTTAAGTTGCAGAAATTTTTCTTGTGCAAGCCATGGGTAACTCCCTTTGCCGCCGGCGAAATCGCCATCCGGTCTCCGACTGGGAAGACACCGACTCCGAGATGGAAGTCGATGTGCGCGTGTGCCCTGAGCAGTGCCAGGTTTGCCAGGCCTACAGTTGCATTCGCAAGCGCACCGGTCATAAGTGCCACTACTGTGCCCGTTGCATCGTTGCCTGGTAGCTGCAGAGGTACGACTACTGACAATGTCGTCAGCCAACCCCAAGGCAAGCTCCCCTGAGTTTGCCCAAGCGGGTAAAAGGGGGGTCGAGGAGCCAAGCCCTTGCAGATGAGTGTGCCAACGAGCTCCTGCCCGACATAGTGGATGTCGTCTTAAAGGTCAATGCTGAAACGGTAAGCACTCACGCTGTCTGCCCATCCGGCGACTTTAAGGGGGGCTTCCGGAAAGTCTACCGAGTGGACCTGCCACTAAAGAACCATCGAGTGGTGTTGAAAATCGCCAAAGATGAAGCTGACAGCGTCTGCGAACTCAAAGCTTCGCGTGCATGCCCCGCGGTCTTTACTAAGGTGTATGACAGCGGTTCGATGGAGTTGTGCCTCCGTCCGCACTCCATTTGTAACATCTTCTTTCTCCTGTCGGAACAGGTCGCCAGGTTAGGAGACTTTATTGAAATTTTGACCAAAGACGTCGCCACTCTAGTTGCTTTTCGTAGCTTGCAGGCAATTTGCTTGGCCACTGATCGCAAGGTCAAGTGCAGAGACCTCGGGGTCCAGCAATGGGGCTTCAGAGGGCTCTCGGACCCACGTGCCAAGCCTCAGGTGCTTCTTCGGGAGCTCGGTCCGGGCCTTCAAAGTGATTCGGTCAAGCTGGTGATCCTGGATGCAAACTGTTGCATCCCAGAAACAGAGAATGCGAGCCTGCTGGCTCCCAGACGTATGTCGTCTTACTGGGCCATGGTTCTGTCTTTGACCAACGAAGCCGTTGTCTCAAAAACACAATCCTTCTTGAGATCTCAAGGTTTCAATGCCAGAAGGGTCTCCGAAAACTTGGAGAGCTCCCTTTACACAGAGGACGCAAGCTGACCGAGACTCTCTTGGCCTCTGCACAACCTTTGACGCTCCTATGAGCCATGATTTGGGCCCAACTTGCGCACGAGTCGCATGAGTCGCAGGAGCGGCCTGAGCGATGTGCCGAAGGGCACAGTCAGGCCGAAGGGGCCTACAAGTTGATACCTGACATGTGTGCATGATGAGTGAGAAAATGAGTCAGCCGTGCATTCGTCTTGGCATGACACATGTCTGCTCTGCTTGTGGCGTTGTTTCATGCCGAGCCATTGTATCATGTCGGCCTTTTTCTTTTCTCATGAGCCATAATCACTGTTTTTGTTCTCTCAATTTCAATGTTGAAACATTGCTAACCAACCCCTGCGCGTTTGTGTCTTTTCGGCTTCCGAATTTGGTGGGTCCGAAGTCCGTATTGTGCCATTGAAGTTCACATCATCTGTCGACGTGCCGCGTTTGTGTGCGGGCTAGAGGCTCCGGCTATTTGCCGACATTCCGCCTGTTCGGCGAAGGGCGAAGTGCCAATGACCTATTCGGTCTTTACCCAATTGAAATTGTGCAAATTGATACTTCTTTGCACCTTAGGTTGGGACGTGTCCTGCGCTAACGGTGAATCGATGCATTTCGAATTCGTTCTATTCAGTAAGCGTTGCTGCTGGTGTTCAAACATGTTGAGTCTGAAAGTTTGGCCACGGAACAACTCCTGTGCCAATGAGTCTTTCACCTCAGGCGCTCCTGCTGGTCATGCGATGTGTCTGAAGCCTCATCTTTGCAGTCACGGCAGTCTCCATTTCTTTGTCATGCTGGCAACTTGCTCCCAGTGTGCTGTGCCGATGAGATCCCGAAACCTGTGTACCCGCAAGTTTGGCCATGGAGCGACTTCTATGTTGAGTTGACTTCTAGCACACGTCGCATTGTAATCCCTAACACAGACACTGTGTCCGAGCGGCTAAGGAGATGGACTCGAAATCCATTGGGCCCTACTTTATTCTTGACCTCAGTCAAGCGATTTCCCAAACACTTCGTCACCTGTGCAGTCTAGGTACTTTATGAGTTTACCTGGCTCGTCCGAGCCCGCCATGTTCTCGTCCTTTGATTGCGCAAGCCTCTTTCGGAAGCTGTTGAGACCGGGCCTGGCACTGCCAATGGGCCCTCGTGCAAGTGGAATGCACGTCCAATTATGCGCAGCCTTAACATGTGTTACCTGCAATGCTGCCAAGTCGTTCAGCTTCTTGGATCTGCGCCGAACAATTGTGTCTGACTCTCTGATACTGTTGTGAGTCCCAGTCCCTGCAACCCTTGGGATGGTCTGAAAACATTATTTGTGTGAGGTTTTGTGTGAGCGAGAGTGTGAGCGGAAGTGTGAGGTTGAGTGTGAGCGGGGATTCTGAGTGTGAGCGGAAGTGTGAGCTTGAGTGTGAGCGGGAGTGTGAGGTTGAGTGTGAGCGGTGATTCAGAGTGTGAACGGAAGCGTGAGGTTGAGTGTGAGGTTGAGTGTGAGGTTGAGTTGTGGAGCACAGGGACTGCGAGAGCCTGGCGGCGCCCAAGTCCGCTCCTCCCCGCCCTACCCGGCCGGCCCCCCTGCCCCGACCTGGCCCGGCCCGCCCGCCGGGTCGCGGCCCCGACCCCCGCTCACACTCCCGCCCACACTCCTCCCCACACTCCTGATCCCGCTCACACTCCCGCTCACACTCCCGCTCACACTTTTCTCACACTCCCGCTCACACTCCCGCTCACACTTTTTCCTTGTAAAACGCAGGAAAAAGTGTGAGCGGGAGTGTGAGCGGGAGTGTGAGCGGGAGTGTGAGAAAAGTGTGAGCGGGAGTGTGAGCGGGGGTGTGAGCGGGAGTGTGAGCGGGGGAGTGGGCGGGAGTGGGAGTGTGGGCGGGAGTGTGGGCGCCCTCCCCACCCACCCCTTGCCCCACCCCCACCCCCCCACCCACCCCCACCACCCCCAGTACTCTCGCTCACACTTTCGTTCACACTTTTCTCACACTTTTCTCACACTCAACCTCACACTTGCCGATGGGCTAGAAATTCATGCTCACACTTTCGCTCACACTCAACCTCACACTCAACCTCACACTTCCCGATGGGCTGGAAATTCATGCTCACACTTTCGCTCACACTTTCGCCCACACTCAACCTCACACTCAAACTCACGAAATAATTATTTCCTGGAATCCAAGCACTTGCAGGGCACCGGGTCTCTGAATGATACTGGGGTCCTTTGCTTTCGGCCAGGTGTCTCAATTGGTCCTTTGCGCCGAGTTGTGTGCCTGCGGCGCCCAAGATCCGAGTTGCCATCTTCCCCAGATTTCGGCCGACCCGCGGCGCACGCCTGCGGACTCCTGTGTCAGTCCATGCATACAGATTGTTGGTCTGTGCTCGAGCCCCTCCCTGCAGCCAATTCATAACTCACAAATGCCAGACAAGCCTACATAACTGTGGTGTGCAAGGTGGTGCTCACAACGGTGCCGCACCTGTGCCATGCGGTGCCATGCTTCCTCCATTCCGCTTTCTGTGTAAAATTTGGCCCCTACCGGGCCACCTCTTGCGCCCTGTGCTCTGCATTCAACTGCTTCTTAGGGCTCTGTGCGCCCGCCGTCAATCTTCACATCCTATGCCAACGCATTGGTCGATGCTGCCCGACGAGCTTCGCCCGCCGGCCAGATGATAGGCTGCGCCTAAATAAGATGCGTGACCAGCCTACCCTTCTGCAAAGTACCGCCTAGATTCCCTTAGCTTTCCTTTGCTACAAAAGTGTGGCCTTTTGCTGGATTCAAACCTTATTCGGGTGTCCTAGGGTTTATTTTCGCCCCCGCACCTGCTAGGCCCTCTTGCCCTTAAACACGCCTCGGCTTTTCAGCTCTGGCGCCTTCATTTTTTTTTTGTTGGCTGCTCGCCGATCACCAACAGCTCGATGTCCTGAGTTCATCCGTGCACCAACGGTGCCAATGGTTCTGCTGCAAACGCTTCGCGCAGATTGTGGCTGTGATGCTCACCCCGGTCGCCTGATGCGACCCGTCTGCATGGCCTGGACTTTCGATCACGAGCACGTTGTGCCACAGCCCCCGGTTCCCTCCGAGCTCCACTCCTTAGCTGCGTCGTGCCTTTCTGCGCTCAGCCTTACTTTGCGGGCTAGGCCCACTTTGGCTAATGGTTCGATGCAATATTACCACAGTCGGCTCCCTTGGCCTTCGTGTTTTCGCCTGTGCAGACTGGTGTGGGCTACTTGTCCTTCTTGGTGTGACCTCCCTGCAAGTTTTTCTGATCCCCTGACTATTCCACTCCAGGTTGCCGCTGTGTTTGCTATTCAATCGCTTCCCAGCCCCTCGGTGCATTACCCCCACAATCACCATATCTCAGTTGTTGCTGCATGGACCACTCTGTGCCGCCAGCGCCCGCCGCCTTGCTGCCTCACACTTCTGCTGTCGCTCTGGTTTGCCTTCTGTTCACCAATCGCAATCGCGACACTCAAAGCCCTTTGCCCTGCTCCTTCTGCATCCGCGGCTCTCGTCCTGCGGGTCCTTTCGCACTACTTGCTGTCTCGGCCTGAGCAGGCCGCTCTCACTTGCTCCCATAACAGGAGCCGTCTGCGCCTTGCCTGGCCGCCACCTTCAGCTGTGCGCTACATTGCACGCTTGTGCTTAAGCCCTAACCCTGCAACCCAAGCCCGCGAATCCTGCTGGTTAAATTGCACCCTAAACCACGGCTCCCCCTTTCTGCATTCTGCAAATCTTATGCTGTACGTCCTCTGGAGCCGGGTCCTCGTACAAACCCCGCCGCTCCCTCCTTGTCCAGTGACCTGTTGGCCTTTCCCTGGTCGCCCAGCCCATCGACCTGTACTGGACGCCACGACATCACCTATGCACTGCCTAATGCGTGCTTACACGTCGACCGTTGCTCATATCTCACCCGCTCCAAGTTTCCAACGGATAAGAGGGGAAGTGGAAGTTCGAACTGGCTTGGGGCCTATCATTGTCCCTTAGCCTGGTCCCTGAAGAGTTCATGCTCAAGTGGCCGATTATCATTGTCCCTTAGCCTGGTCCCTGAAGAGTTCATGCCCAAGTGACCGAAACGAAGCTCCCAAAAGCATAGCCTGATTCATTCCTAACAAGCTCACACCTTAAGCGACTCAAGTTATCCCGAAAGCTTAACTGTATTCCCAAGTGCTCACACAGAGCGGCCCGAGAAGGCATCTCAAAGGCCCCCCACCAAAAGCTTAGCCTTATTCCCAATAAGCTCACACCTTACTCAGCCCAAGTGAAGCATCCCAAAGGCCCCTGAAGAATTCCCTCTTAAGCGGCCCAAACGAGGCATTCCAAAGACTTGGCCGAGTCCCCAAAGAGTTCATGATTAAGCTGCCCAAGTGGGGCATCCCAAAGCTTGGCAGGTTGCCAAACATTTCGGTCCATCGCTGCCCTCCGCGTTAAGATGTTACACAAATTTAAATGATTTGGCAATGCCGGCTATGCTGAAGCAATGCCTGCTGGGCAAGCGAACGGCCCAATCGAGGCGTCCCGAAAGCTTGGCGGACAATCGAGGATTTTCAAGCTGACAAGTCAACAAACGCTCTGACCCGTCGCTGCCTTCTGCAGTCGGACAGTGCGTGTATGAGAGTGCGAAGCAATGCCTACAGGACGAACCAACATTTGACCCGAGACGCTCTCGGGTGATGCAGATGCGCCGCGATGCCGAAGCGATGCCAGCCAGACAAGTCAACATTCGGCTGAGTGGCTTCTAAGGGACCCGAAGTTTTCGCAATTGTGGAGTGCTGTGTGCAATGCTGGCAAGCAGGGGGGGGGTACGTGAAAAGTCAGGCACCCTGAACTAGACCCCTCCCCTGTGCTTTTGAACAGACAGAGCAGCAGCCCAGGCGATTGTGCTCCTGGGGCAGTGAATCGTGAACCGATGTCCAGGCCTCCGAGCTTAAGGTCGATTAAGAAGTCAAGCTTCAATGGTAGTTTGAGCCGATAGACCCAGCCGAATTCCAGCACATTTGACAATCAGCAAAAAGT